ACTCATTTATTGATTTAGTGTTTGATTTGTTTCATGTTTATTGCAATTATTGTACTGCCCGGGACTACAGTCAGCTTGGGATGGTCATTTCACAATCCTAAACGGGCTGAACGACGTCGTGGTTCGGCTCCGTAAGTCATATACTCCGTAAGTAATGACTTAGACTTAAAGTCATTCATTACGATAGGTTAGTTCCTTACTATGGCCATAGTACGGATTTACATTTGTAAATATTTGCACTCATTTATTGGTTTAGTGTTTGATTTGTTTTATGTTACTTATTGCAATTATTGTACTGCCCGGGACGTGCAATCATTGGGAAGGGGGCAGTGTTTCGAATTTTGTATTTAGATAGCTAATGTTAGTAGAATTGTAATTAAAATTGTTTTATTTCCTATGCAATGTAGCGCAATACGAGTTTTAAGGGAAAGCTAGGTGAAAAAGTAAAAGTACAGAAGTATGTGCACTGAACATTGAATAAAAGTTTATCTCGGTAATTTATATTTAATTTGAATAAATGTAATTGACTACTATGTTAGCTGTAATCGTAATTCTACTCTTTTGCTTTCCAGAAATCTCGAGAAGCAGAAATTACTAGAAATCTCTCGCGACCGATTTAAAGTTATAAAAAGTCCAGACAGAGAACATCTCATCTCAGTTGTTTAGTTAGCTGCTGTTGTTATGGTTGCGAATTCGCAGTCAGATCGGATTAGCTTTCTCTTTGCATTGCGTCGCATTCTAACATTTTTAGTAGTGATCTATAACTACTGATTATTACTGCGTGATATTGTGAACACTTCTACGAATATCTCTAAAATTCTAGCGTTTTGTTATATTTCTTTTGATAAGAATAAATTTTACTAACCTGTTATCGGACTTGTAAGCTCAATCTATTAAGATCTGTTATCTAACAATACGGTTACAGCCGAAAACATCGCGGCAAAAACATCGCGGACGAAAACGTCGCGGAGAAAACAACGCAAGGCGAAAACGTCGTGCTACATAACATCGTGGGAGAGAACATCGCAAAGGGAAAACATCGCCGTTCTAAAACATCGTGGTACAAAACATCGTCATCGAAAATAAAGCGGTTCAAAAACTTCGCAGTTTAAAAACATCGTCGTCGAAAATATCGTGGTAAAAAACAAAGTATCTACAAATCATCGCATGACGATAACATCGCAGACATGCTTTTTTCAGGCTTTAATAACTATAAACGGATATTCCCGTAATGATTTGTGAGCGGAAGATGGAAAGAAGGATAATTTTTACTTTCATATTTTTTATTAATCGATAAATTTTTGCTGAGAAAATAAAAAGGAAACTTAAGCATAGAAAATTAATGCAAATTATAGCACTTAACATAATTTTAAACCGACATAGTTAACTAACAAAGATCATTAATAAATCATTCTTTTATAAAGTTTTTACTGGTAATTTTTCATGAAAAGTATAATCTATAAGTTGCATTTAATTTTCTATGCTTATGTTTCCTTCTTACTTTTTCAGTAAAAAATTATTAGCTAATAAAAAACTGTGAAAGTAAAAATTATCCTTCTTTACATCTTGCGCTCACAAATCATTATGGGAATATCCATTTACAATTATTAAAACCTGAAAAAGCATGTCTGCGATGTTATCGTCATGCGATGATTTGTAGATACTTTATTTTTTACCACGATATTTTCGACGACGATGTTTTTAAACTGCGAAGTTTTTGAACCGCTTTATTTTCGACGACGATATTTTGTACCGCGATGTTTTAGAACTGCGATGTTTTCTCTTTGCGCTGTTTTCTCCCACGATGTTTTGTAGCACGACGTTTTCGCCTTGCGTTGTTTTTTCCGCGACGTTTTCGTCCGTGATGTTTTTGCCGCGATGTTATCGGCGGACACCAACAATACTTAAGCCCTAGAGCTATGGTTATACACACAAACGTTTCGAGATTATTAGCAGGCAGAATAATTTATTCAACTTGAATTAATTGTTTTCTTGCTCAGTGAGTAAAATCTTATAAATATAATACTTATATAAATTACATTAGTATTCGTGTTATCAAATTAAGAATTTCTTTCCTCAGTAAAGTATTAAGTCATGAGATCTTTCAAAATGGCAAAGCAATTAAAAAAGTGCTCAGTTTTTATTTTCGAAGTAAGGAATGAAAAATGTAAGGAATAAAATATAGTAAGGAATAAAAAGTAAGGAGTAAGGAATAAAAAATGAGTTTTATATAAATATCCGTTTTACAGCAAATGAATCATAATAATAAAGCTGAAGTAATAAGAGTTAGGAACAGATTTCTTTGATAACTTTACTATTTACTACATCGTATATTTGATCTTTTTATATGTATATAATGTTTAATTTTATATAAAGAACACCATCTGACTTAAATGAATTAAACGAACTCAGAAAGATTTTGTACTAGAAACTAATTGTGTAAATTTCCATTTTAGTTTAATATTTTGTTTAGGCTCTTAAAGAAACAAATGAAAGCTGTAAAATTTTTTATTTCTCTTTCTTTAATGTATCCCTTGTAGAAATTTATAACTTTAAATGTTATTTTTCGAAAGCAGGATCGTATCATAAACTGGTCTACAATACTCTATGAATGTGACACCTATAATTTTATTATAGGTTACACTTCTGTTTTCCTATTTGCTTTTAGTACATTACATTCTTTCCTTCGTTTAGATGCATGCAAAACGTGACAGTTACAAAACGGTGCGAAATGTTTCATTGTCTTTCTGTTTAGCTTAATTTATGCAGCGACTTTATTTTTTGTTCTTCAGCTACACATCCTATAAAATTATAAGTGTAGTTTTATTGAAATACTTGTCACGCACGTATAACTACGCAGGGAAAGAAATGCAACATCATTGTTTGAGGAATTGCTACATGCTGAAATGTAAATTTTGGGAGAGAAACTTTATTGTTTTAATGTTTGTTTAGTTACAATTTTTGATAAATAAAATATTTTAAAATTCTAGGTAAAACCTAATAGTAATTAGACAGGTTTTTAACTGAGATATACAGGGTGATCAGCGAATAAGCCCTGATTTCAAAATTAAATATCTCTACAACAAAGATCGATAGAATTATGTGGTAAACTGTACGTTTATTAGCAAAACTGTAAAAATGGTGTACAAAAGTTTATAAAATCTAGTTATGAAATTCGTTAACAGTTCTAATCGCAATGACCTATCAATAGCCTTTAAAATGTGCTTCGAAGTCGAAAGTGATCAGTACAACTGGTGGCTAGTGAAAAGAGGCTAGCGTAGAAAGTGAAATAATGTATTCCATTGAACAATGTGTATTTTGGTTCTGAAATTTCACCGATTAGAACACAGTCCTACGGCAACACGTCGCAGTTTTCGAAACCGATTCAATGTTCCAGTTGGACCCGATGCGAAAACCATTCGCATGCTGTTCGCGAAATTCGAATGGACTGGCAGCGTGACTGATGATCAAAAGAGAAATGTTGGGCCTAAGCAAAACTATAGTCACCCCTGAAAATGGAGCCAAAGTTTCTGGATTTGTTCAGCAAAATCCTAGGAAAAGCATCCAACGTATTGCATCAGAGACAGGTTTGAAGTACACGAGCACACAAAAAATATTTAAAAATAGCCTACGGCTGTTTCCATACAAAATCCAAAGTCATCAGGCCATACCCATGAAAGCTGTGCAACAAAGGGTTGACTTTGCGAATCAAATTCTAACAATGATCGGCAACGGCAGATTTAATGGGAGCTACATCTGGTTCACAGATGAGGCACATTTTCATTTGAATGGAATCGTTAATAAATAAAACTGGAGATTTTGGGGTACCGAAAATCCTCATTTGTGTGAAGAAAAAGCACTGCATTCGCCTAAAGTTATGGCATGGGCTGCGGTATGCGCCAGAGGCATTATCGGACCCTTTTTCGTACGAGAAACGATAACTACTGAACATTACGTTACAATTTTGGAACAATTAGTCAGCACCCAACTAGCGTTGGAGGATCGACCGGGTATTGACTAGTTCCTGCAAGATGGGGCTCGACCACATCGAACAAATAAAGTTTTTCACTTTCTTCATGAATACTTTGGGAATAGAGTAATTGCGTTAGATTACCTTCAATTTACTGACACAGGAATAGCTTCGCCTCCATATTCTCCCGATCTGAGTCCTTGTGACTTCTTTCTGTGGAGCGCATTGAGAGACGCTGTCTATCGAAATAATCCTGCTACTCTAGATGAGCTTGAATCGTTGATTGGTGTTGCATGTGATTCCATTTTCGTTCAGACATTGCAAGACGTGATGCCAAATTTCATTGTTCGTTTACGCCACCTCATTGTTTCGAACGATGAACATTTTAAAAAAGTTGTATTTTGATTGCAAAGGCTGCTTCACTTTATTTTTTAACTAATTTTTTTTTACTTCTTTCAGAGAAAGAGTTTTGAGGGCAGAGCGCCATCTGTTAACGATTTACGTAACTAAATTTTCTAAATCTGTGTACACCATTTTTACAGTTTTGCTAATAAATGTACAGTTTACCGCATAATTCTATCGATTTTTGTTGTAGAGATATTTAATTTTGAAATCAGGGCTTATTCGCTGATCACCCTGTACCTAAAAGAATGGTTTCTTGCTTTTGAGTTCACTACGACTTTAAATGACAAGTCCAGTAGCGTAAATATGAAGCTAAAATTGAAATATATTTAAATAGTAGTCATAGACATCTTTATTCTACAAGTATTACAAATTGAAGACTCAAGAGAATATTATTAACTAAAAAATTAATTTGCTTTTATTTTAGATCGTTTAAAGATTTGCTAGAAGGGTTTTAGGTTAGTTTTGGTTATAAACCTTTTGCAAGATTTGTATTAACAAGTTCTGGACATTCTTGCATATGATTAAACTACACCAACATTTTTTAAGTGCTGAAAAGTACTGATTTTTGAGTGCTATTTTTAATTGCTGCATGCTTTCAAGGAACGAAATGATTTTGTATTCTTACCAGACATGATATGCATTTTGAGTAGAGCTGTGCTCATTTCAAGATCTTCCAATAACTGAAAAAGGAAATCTTGCCCCATTCTATGGAATGCATCATCGGTGGGTGCCAATAGGGTATGCTGAGAATCTATATTCATCATCCTCCTATCAAGACCTGTTGCTTTCAGAAGAAGAGCAAATGTAGAAAAGCCTTCAATCCTCTCCAAAAACTCCATAATAGTTTGCTTGGGAGGCGAGAGAATCTGTCAAGAAATACAATATTTTATGTGAAATATAAACCTTAGTTCATTGCATTAAATTACTTAACTGTGGCTGAATTTTTTAAATACGATATTAGTTAGTTGCACATGTAGGTGCCTGAACGTCACTGATAGTCGCAAATACTAGGATCATTCAACAATCTTCTAAATATTTACATTTCTGGTTGACTTCCTTCTCGCATCAAGCACGCCTCTTCTTCTCGTTGCCAGATTTTCTCCTCTCTCCTTTCAGCTATAAGTCGCTGGCTTAACTATTCTTCCGGCAGACTTGGTCGGTAGCATCCCCTTACCGAGTATGTGCATGACACAGTTGTTCTACGATTACTGGATTGTTTCATTATGTATTAAAGGACTGATAAACTAGTTAGGCGCGAGGGAATGAGTTTTAAAAAAGAATGGTGTTTGATGAGTTATTTCGCCGGAAGTAGGTCGTAGACATTTTCATACTGTGTGTTGCATTTCTGATATTGCTTTGTAAGAATTTCATTATTAATGACGTTTCCATTACAAATCCGTTGTACTTTTCATAGATAAGGTAGAGTTTATCTAACTCGATATATGTGTAGCAAAAGCTATGAAATATGAAGCGTTGAAAAGCACATATTTTTATCAAGTTATTTGCACTTTGTTAAAATTGGTATCTGAGGTGCTATTTTGAGGCAATAAACAATCAGACCCTTTTCTTTTAAAAAATCATAGGCATTGAGATCTGCTAAGATATTGGCTAGAAATTCATTGTCTTACCGAAGAAGAATGAATATCACACTTGGATATAGGAAGATTTATTTTGGATATAGAATCATATTATCATATTTAACAACTATACCACCAAGATCTTATCAGGCAGAATACATTTGACGGAGATAATTTAAAAACTGCTACATAAACAACGCACGCATCTTGGAAGAGTTGAAAATGAACATCTCTACGGCCATCCAAAGTCTAGGATACAGAAAAGTTCGCAAATCTGCAAGGAACTTGATGAAACTTGTACGCAAATAAGTATAACTGAAGATTGTCTTTTTTAAAAAGTTATGATTCATAAATATATACAGGTATTGCTTTTATGAAGGATATACTTTTAAATTTAACACTCTGTACATAAAACGTTCCCTAAATATTAAAAAAAACCTACAAACATTTTACACACAGGTTATGCTTCTTTATTAAACAATATAATATCTGCTGCCAGCTTATGAAATTAAATCTTTGGTTGTTGAATGATATTAAAAGTAAATTAAACAGGAATTTCAGTTTTAAAACTTTCCTCTATTTCTATATTTTTTTAAGCAAAAATGTTGTGAGCAAATATGTTTTTATTTAAAATGCATCTGGAGAATTCTAATGCCATGCAGAGGTCCCAAAACTACAACAATACAATAATAATACAATAGAATACACAACGCAACACTTTACATAGATAAGTCTGAAGTACAAGGAAGAATTACACAAAAGAAAAAATGCAATGGCTAAAGGTAGATCAAGTCTGCAATCTGTTTAAAAGGTCTCTATTCTCCAAGTATCTGGAAAAAAATAAACAGTGCTCTGAAAGAGCGCTGAGCAGACTAGACGCCCAGCGTTCGTCCCTTCAACATTACAGTAAGTGAGGCAGACTGGATTATCAACTACTTGGAATTTGTGAAAGTGTGCATATACGCAGTCCATTGTAGCTAGACGAAAGGCAATTACAGCGCTGCTTGTGGGGTGTCTCGAAGATTATGGATGTCGAGCAAAAATATAAACTATTAAAAAAGCATATCATCTTTAGAATAAAAATTAAAAACAGAAATTTACATGGAGACTTCATTAGATATTATTCTCAGTGCAGATGTCAGCATACTCAAGAAATACAGTTATAAATTTAGCAGTCCCTCAATTACAGAGTGCTAAAACTGCACTTTATTTACGATATTCATGGCTTAAAATGGCACCCGTGTACATAACTTCTGCTGAAAAATCCAGGTAAAATGACTTTTAAAATTACTTATGCTACACGGAGCAATGTAAGTAATATTGAAGTAGCGTAATATTGAAGTCAAATACACTACCCGAAACTGGAAATACAGCACCAAGAAGGAGTGGCTAGAAAGTGATGAAACTCGGCAAACAGAGAGAGAGAAAGCAACGAACAATAAGTGATTTATATTTTGAAATGATATGCTTAATACAGAGAGAGAATAGCGTCGGCTCAGTAGATGGGTTGAAATGAAATGGACACCCAATGATTCCTATAAGTAACATAGGAATTGTCTCTTAGCACTTCTATTTAGAGCTACCCTCCACTGGGTCGCGCGTCATTTATTGAAATTTGGTAACATATATAAAGTGTACATAAGAATGTAGCATACACAAGACCCATTCCATTCCGTTTGCCGCTGCCGCCGCGTCTAGCTTGCAAAGCTGCAAGCTGTATAACATACACAAGAATATACATAAAGTTTGTATAAATAATTTAGACATGCTATATACATAGTAGTGTAAATTTACATTTAATTTTGTATATTATTATGATTTCAAATTTTGATAAGTACCTAAGTAAGTTCATTGTTCGAGTTCTTAGTGCCTAGTTTTAGTTCATAGTTCTAATTCTAGACCATGTTGAGTTCATATGTTTTAGTAGGTTGTAGCAGTAGTTGGCTCAGTAGGTTGTAGGACCAACTTAGACGGCGATATACAAAGCAACACGTGTAGGTACAGGTGACAGGTGACGGAGGACGGGGACGCGTGGTATTTAACGGAGGTAAGCAGTCATATGTCCCACGCCCTCCCCTATCTAGATGCAACAACTCCCTGGGGTCCCACAAGGGCACATCGGGAGTTACTGAGCCATCATGAAAAAGTTTACATGGCCATACAGGGGCTATTCCAGTTTGACATTGGTTCAGTAAAGATTCTTATGTTAATGGTTGACCTGGGTGTACGTGTATTGACGTGTAGGTACAGAGTGTCAATAAGACTATGGATGGTGTCAGTCCATTAACCATTTGCCACAGTTCATTGTCTGAACGCGGCAATGGCAGGTTCTGCAAATGGCGTCCAATCACATCCCAAATATGTTCGATTGGTGAGAGATCAGGAGAGAACGGTGGCTAGAAAAGTATCTGTACACGTTGGCTGATGCAAGAAGTGTATGGCTGGACGTTATCCTGCTGATAAAGGGCACGGGAGGGAGTGTCACCAGCCTCAGCATATCATCCACGCCACATTGGGCTGCCATAGCGCTCTGAATACGAATTAGAATTACCTCATTAAGGAGCATTCCACAGTTGCTGCCGGATTGGATTGGTCTCCATATCGACGCCACACTCGTACGTGGATATTATCACTAGAGAAACTCATCTGAGACTTATCTGAGAACTCATTTGAGACTCATCTGACATCATCTCATCTGACTCATCTGAGAACACGACCCTGTGATATTCCATCGTTCACAGCACTCGAGCTTGGCACCACTGCAGACGCTGGCGTCTATGATGTGGGCTCAATGGCTTCTTAACGAACAACATTAGCCACCAATCGATAGAAAATTATTCTGGTCGATATTGGGACATCCAGGGTGGCTTGAACATGCTGCAGATAGAGGTAGAAGTGGCTTGCGGGTGCGCCACCGCTTGTCGGCGGATGCGTCAATCTGGCTCCACCGGCACCCCTAGAACTTGCCACATTTCCTTGCTGCAACCTTCGTCGCCACAGCCGGTGCACTGTGGATGCATCCAGGTGTGTGTCAGCTGAGATTTGCCGTATGGACCAATCTGCCCTTCTCAGTCCGATCACTATGTCTCTCGTAAAATCGTGTGTCTGTTGGAACTGCCTCCGTTGACGATAGCCTGCATTCTCTGCTATTACACGCGTCTTCTGAGACAAGAACAAATTTTGTACTATGATTTCTCTAGCGGAAACAATGGAACGAAAATTGGAACATTCTGCAGGTTCCTTCCCTTATGCCTTCTTCAACGTACGCTGGAGAGCTACGCATTTCACATAACTCGGTGACGTGCATCTACTCTGAAATGTGCGTAATTTTCGGGCCACTCCTTCTTGATGTTGCATTTTGAGTATCGAGTTGTGTAAAATATCATAAACATCATCATTTAAGAAAAACATAAATTAATTTAGCGCAGATGTCATTTATACAAATTGAAAACAATAACCTTTCGCGTTGGTTTATTTTGACGTGTTAAAAAAGAAAAGAACTTACCCTGTTGATGACATGAAATGTTCCACCGCACAGCTTATGATTGAGGCTTACCATTGTAGCGCACTGGACTAATACTTTTGGAGTGGCGTGTGGATACTGAAAACAAATGTTGCTTTTGAAATATAATTAATAAATATAATATTAAATATAATTACTAATAAAATATAATAATAAAATATAATATCCAGAGATTCGTGGTTCGAGTCACGGCGAAGGTGTTTGCTCATTTTTCTTCTTTCATGCTTCCAAAAATACCTAATGTCTCTACACAGTAATTACTTTTCTGAACGGCTGCGTCATTTCTAGATCAATCTATGACACATGGCTTGCGTTACGCTTCTGTTAAACATGTAATGCTGCATCATTAAACTTTGTGGGGAGAAAGGGCAGATTTGTCCTCATTGTAATGTACCATGCCATAGCGCAATCAACAAGTAATGAGGACATATTTGGATCTTCAAGTGATTTTGTGATTCTTCAAAAGTTCTCCTCATCTACTATTAGGTAATTCACATTCTCAGTAATCTTTTAACCTTAATCCCGTCGCGACTGCAAAATAGTGGACTAAAGTGCTGAAAAATTTAATATGACTCTAAAAATTAAATTTATTTTTAAAAATTGATATTTATAAATTTTATTTTACATTTATGTATTCAATTATTGCTGATCAAAATTTTATGATGTACATGTTTCTTCATTTTCTAGTACTTTAACGCTTTTTCTTTAAAAAGGCTTCTCTCTCGTTACTCCTTTTTCTCCTTGAAGGAGGGAGGATATGTAAGAAAAATAAAGAATATGTAAAAGATTAAATTAGCAACTTAAATATCCCTTCTGAATTCTAAAACTAGTAACCTCTCTCTGCACTGAGTCATTTCTAGATTAATCCATGCCAAATAACTCTTACACAATTCTGATGATGAAGATAAAACTTGCCAATAATAATTTTACAGCAATATTAACTATCCAATCCAAGTGCATTGAGAACCAAAATGAAGTCTGAATTAAGATCTCACCCTGAACATAATGCACTTGCTTTCTACGCTTTGACCTGGCTGGACTGCTGTCTGCATGCTCCTGCTATGTTACTGCAAATTTATCTAAAATGTAAGCATTTTGGAATAGGCACATTTCATGTGCCAACTTGATTGTGGCCACAATCACTTGGCACTCTTGTCATGCCTTTTCACAGAACTTTTACATTTTTGATATTATTGTAACGGCAAGCAAGACAGCGAAGTTACATCCTAGCAGGGTAGAGAGCGAAGCTGAAGTGCGTAGTTATGTAAGATGGAAGCACATGAAGAGAAAGGTTTTGGTTTAAAGTTTCAGTTCCCAATTTTTACGTCATCAGGGCTTCGCATGCCATGTAAAATGGAATGATCTAGAAATGACGCAATCCAGAGAAGTTATTACGGTTTTTAAAACACAGAGGGAGAATTAAAGAGTTACCATTGGTTTAAATTATAAGTTTGATTCAGATATTTTTTATCTTTCACTCACACACATATATATGTATAATAGAATAATATATCAAGCAAGGTAGTAATTACAATTTTGAAAAACTAATTTTGGTCTAGAAAACATCTTGCGCAATATGCTGCAAAATAAGTAAAATATAAAAAAAAATGTAGTAAGCTCGCCTAAAAGTTACCGAGAGCTGTTGTTCCAAAAAGTTCAACACGTTTTAAAAAAATTAATACATATGAAAATCAAACCATTAAACATGTAAAACATTAAAAAAACAGAATCAGATAAAAAGGTAAGCGGAAAATGGTAAATTAGCCCAACTCGACTTCCAAACTGGCTTTTCAAGGGAAATTTCATTTATTTGAACGTCGAATCAAGCTAACCCCATTACGCGTTTCGCCGAAACAGACAATTGAAACTGTTCGCTACAAAAATTTTTAAAAATTTAGACAAAGTGTCTTGGAAATTTTATAGTCTCAATTCTCTGTTCCAATTTCCCGACGCGTCCGCACAGAGATGACACATTAAGGTGTTAAAATATGTTAAACAATACCTAAACATCTTAATTCTAGACTAAAATCAAAATTAAAAAAATCGAAAATATATATAGAATATATATATATATATATATATATAATATAGATTAAATCTATCTTTGGATTTTCGAACCCACAGTTTATCGCATAATTTCATTTATTTTTAAAGCTCTTAACTAGTTTTTTAACGCAAAAAAGGAAATGGTCATTTTTCTAAAAATAAATGTAAAATTTTGAATTCATTCTGTAATATTAAATACAAAATTTGTAACAAAGAAGTAGCATAAATGATTCTTATAATTATCCAGTTATTTGGAGAAGAAGGAATTCCACTTATCAGTTTTGGGTTTTGTGACAAAAATATTAGTTTTGTGTATGCGTTACCGTGAAAGACCGAAATTGGAGAATGTCGACTTTCACCGGAGAATGTCAACATTCACCAAATGCGTTGGTGAAAGATCGAATATTGCATTACATTCTTGGTACATTCGGACCCTCACCGGTGTATGTCGACAATCACAGATATGCTCTGGTGTAGTTGAAAAAGAGAGGAGTATATGTACAGTGCTGTCATTGCAAAAGGAAGTGTTCCACAAATAAATGCAGTTGTAAAAGCAAGGGCCTCTTGTGCAATTGAAAGTGTCCTAATAGTTTAAGTTGTTTCAATAATAAGATTTGAATCACATAATTTAGTAAGTTTTTAACTTCTATATTTCCTTTCTCATTTTGAATGTGCTGCGTGTTTTAAGTTCTTATATTCTTAAGTTCTTATTTTAAGTGCAAGTGCGTTGTTTCGAGACCGAATTACGGAGAAGAAAATATAATATCTTATGTGTTCAACATTCACCATAGTACATGGTGAATGTCGTGTAAGTCAGAAATAAGAGTATTTGGAAAATATTTCGGACATGCACCAAGCGACTATGTGAATGTTGACATTCACCGGTGAAAGTCGACATTCTCCAGATTTCGGTGTTTCACCGTAACATATGCATATTAATTTAAAGTTTACAAATTTAAGAAGATGAAACTTTATTTTGAAGCTCTTAAAGGTGTTTACCCCATCGTTAACAGATTCATAACTGTATAAGTAAAATAAATGCAGACTTACTGATGAACGAATTTGAACTCGAATCGATGCATTTGGTAATTTTGAATTTAATCTTTGTTCTGGGATCTTCAGGTCTGTTTGGCCTTCCGCTACATGGTATAACAAGAGGTCAGCAAGAGTATTATTGCTATTCAGCATGGAATTCAAGTGTCTAGGAATACTTCCCTAAAATTAGAAAACGGAATTATAACAGCTATTACTTTACATATTTAAATTTTTCGCTTTCGACAACAAACTCACAATCAACTCAAAAGTTCTTTTTGCATATTTTTATAGCAAACTGGTATAAGAGTTTCTCAGCATAGTAATTTAAGACGATAGTGAAATTGCGTGAAATTACATAACGTTAAAATGTAGTAGCATATCATTTATTAAGTATTAAATTAGAATTTTATGATATTGTTATAGTTTATGATCAAAGTAACTCGCCATTGTCAAAATTTTTTTATTAATTTAAAACAATAAAGTAGGTAATACAAGTACAATAATGTCCCTAAAAAACGAATGGAAACCGGGTTTGGGCAGATGCGTCCGATTTCAGGGTAAGAGCTGATGCGTAGGGTTCAGTGGCGTAGACCCCCGAGCCATTGATCCAGTTGTCAAAAGGCGCTGTTCAAGCTGGTGGTGGTTCCAAATGGTTGGGCGTTTTCATGGCATGCGGGTCCCTCCACTGGTGCAAAACTGAACCGATCATGAACTGGACAATGATACCTTTCAGTACTTGGGAGATCACTTTCAGCCATTCATGGAATTCAGTACTAAACAACGATGGGGATTTTTATGGATGGCGCCAGTCACCGGGCCACAGTTCGCGATTGGTTAGAGAAGACATTCTGGTTCTAGCGAAAAGATCTGGCCACCTAGATCGCCCACTGAATCCCATCGAACATTTATTCATCATCGAGGAGTCGTTCGTGCACCAAAACCCTGCACCGTAACACTTTCACATTGTGACGTCTATCGAGCAGCATGGCTCAATATCCTGCAGGACTTCCAACGACTTGTTGAGTCCATGCCACGTCGAGTTGCTGCACTTCGCCGGGCAAAAGGAGGTCCGACAAAATATTAGGAGGTATCCCATGACTTTTGTCACTTCAGTGTATGTTAACGTGGCTGGAGATAAGTGTTTTATCTTATAAGTTAGTCTTTCGGTTTAGTTAATTGGTTTAGAAAGTGTCCATGCTTTATTTTGATTAATTTAAAATTTGCAAAAGTAGATTTCTTAAAATACATTTCTTAGTATTCAGTGAATCTCAAATGTCAAAACTAACTGATTCCTTTTTGGCTAGTTTCTATGTGCGTTTAAAGCTAGCTTCAAATATTGGTGCCACTTTCAATCACTGCGTCGACTAAGTTTTAAAAAAATAATTCTTTAAGAAATTTAATCTTTGTTACCCGCCATACATGATTACATACCTGTATTACTTCATTGGATGGAATAAAGAACGTAACGTTCTCCAATGCATCAAAAGTGGTTTTCAGATTTGCTCTTTCAAGTAAATTAAGAAATTCCTTTAAACCTGATGCCTCCAATACTTGACTAATACTCTGAGCTGAAAAGGAAAGAACTGGAATAATATTTGAAAATTATCTATGATATTGGCATACTTATGCAGCATTAAATAACCGCCAAATTCTATGAGTACAGATGCTTATTCCTAATATAGGAAAAAGCATGCTCAACAAAATTTTTGACATATAAATTATCTCCACATGATTGAAGTATTTTCGGAGGTTAAATACTAGAAAATAAGTCAACACATGCCTTCATAATTTACGTAAATCGAAAAATATTATTGTCGGAATTTATGTAGTCACAGTCAATTGTCACTGAGAAAATGCCAACTTTCAAAAATGGTGATATTTCATATTAGCGACAAATTTAATCGTTATTTTCTGTTGGCTTCCAATAAAATATTTCATACTGTATTACAGTATGAAATAAATGCAATTTTTTCTCGCCAAGGTAGCGTTTTGTAAAATGCGAGATCCAGTCGGAATGGAATTTAGAGTAAAAAGTACAAATATAAATAATTTATTAATGATAATCACTTACGCTGCTTCGCAGGTGTCGTACAGCCTCACATAATTCAAAATCACATCAGATTCGTTCAGGATCATTTAGAAAGGCTAAAGTGAAAAATATTTTCAGCGATTAAACTGCAGACATACAGGTTACGATTGTTAAAAGCATGTCATAACATCACGTAGTTTAATGTCCAGCTCGAACTCCAGAGTATAGATGTTAGACATTGGTCCATTGGAAGTGCGGCGGACCATACAGAGTTTAGTAAATCGTGTGTCCGGTCCCTGAAATTCACTGCTTCCAGCCTTTACGATGTGTCACACGACATGTTTTTGACATATCAGAGGCATAACTTCATGACGAGAATCGGGAGATTTTTAATGTTCTGCACCGTGTGTGTCGTAAAAGCCTCTCGATTTCAGGAGAGGTGACGAACCAATAATCTGATTTTTTTCTCTGATATCGTTCCAGATATAACGAATCAGAAGATGTAAAATACTACTGTAAAATTAAGGAGGCGGGGCTAATTCAGTTTGAATATTTTCGCCCTTGGAGTAACATCAAAGAACGCTTCTGAACTCTTGACTAAAGAGATATACAGTGCTCTTGAGCTCTCGACTAGAGAGACCTTCGTTAGCAGATTCCTCATATTACGAGGACTATAATGCATTTAAATACTTATCTATGCTATCTATGAATTATATATGTATGTATAAAGAGTTTCTGGTAATAATAATAAATATGTTGAGTTAAAAAAGCAGTAGGACTACATAACCTCGCAACCTTACCCAACCATTATAAGGAGTCAGTAACGCTCCATGCCGCCACTCAACGCAGAGTAACTCGACGGTCACTCCCTCAGTAGTGACCAAAAACCCTCGAGAAGTATTTGGCCTTGTAATATGAATCGATATTTCAGAGGCGTATCGGTGTACAAATCTGCTGAAGAAAATGTGCAGTTAAATATGTTAAATATGCAGTTAATATATAGTTAAATATGAGTTGAAATTAAAGTATTGTTTTGAAGTAACAACTATTTTAGTACCAGTTAGTCATATTGCTTCAATTATACAAGGCGATTAAAAATATTTCGCAAAAATGTACAGGCAGTTTAAGGCGACCAAACTAATTGTAAGAGAATGCGTCTGTAGAAATGGCGCATTGAGGTGGTACAGGGCGCAGTTGAGCTCCAGGTAAAAGCATTCTGCTAAGGTAAATTTCCGTCTGCATTATTCGCGAAGCAGATTTCAAGTGGTATGCATCGTTATATGGACGCGGAATTCGGCAATATGCATTTTATTTATTGTGTTGCAGCTTTAACGGAGCAGCTACTCTTCGCATTAACTTAGGAATGCAAACAGCTCAAAATTTGCTCAGGAAATGGCAATTTAAGTCATCAGAACGCTTTTACCTACTGATCAGCAGAACCCTGTATCATTCCAACGTGCCATTTCTGCACACATATTTACTTCCTAAATCTGTTTATTTTTGTTACCTCTCTCTGTCTGTTTGCATTTTTTCAATCATTCTGTACAACGAATTATGGTATTCCTTCCTTGCGTTGCATGTACACTGAAAGATCCATGGTTCGACTCTCAGCGAAGACTCAGTCGACTTTTCACGTTTTCCGTTCTGAAAAAGTCTTTACAGTGAAATTCGAATTAAAATGTAGTACCCGATGATGCGTCATCGCTTGCATTTGGCAGCTTGGTCTTTTCTGTTCTTCCAGAACCTCTTTAAATGTACGTATTCGTATATGAGGTGGGTGAAAGGAGTAAAGAATTCAGATTTTTGCGTGGTGTAGTGGTTTGCACTCAGGCTAGCCAAGTGAAGACCAGTGCTTCAATATCCTGAAAAAGTATGGTATATTTTTCATGCTTTCTGCTCCAAACACCTAACAGTTTCTATAGCTGTGATAATGCATATGTTTCTTTTCGAGATCGATGAAGTTTGGGAATCTTTAAGATAAATTTAGGATATTCTCTAGAACTTATGCTTTTTCTATCATGAATATAAATTTTGGAAAATAAACGCAAGATCTATCAAAATCAACTTCTTACCTTGTCTAGTTGATAGAACGCCATCGATAACATGCACAACGCCATTCGTTGCCATGATATCTCTCACCACTATCTGAGTATCATCCACATACAGCTTGTTATGTTTGTCTCTTGTCAGACTCAGAATCTCTCCAATTACATTTAAGGTTCTCGCATGATGAGGTAAGGCCGATGAGCAGACCACGTGAGCTATTACGTGGTGTTTAATCAAACCTAGGAATGCAAAACGAATGTACTATCTTTAACAAAAGCGGGAGCATTTTTATTAAAAAATATTTTTAGAAATGCATGCTAAAGTCCTCACTTATTTAGCTTTTATTCCGGAATGCGAAACATTGAAGCATTTCTTCTTTTTTGTTTGATCATTAATTACAATCATGAAAAAGAACATGAAGAAAAAAAAGTTTATAAAAATAAAGAAGAAATCTTGAAAAAAATGTATAAGTTGGTGATATTTTAGTTAGATCAAAAAATATTTAGTGAAATTTTTCGTTCTTTTCTATTTTGATTTCATGGTGGAGAACAAAAGGCAAGAAATCCCAGAAAGCAGTTTTTCTCTCTATGTGACATCCAGTTAGGTTAATCATTATGTTTTTCAGGTTGAAATAGATATTTTAATTTATACTTGGCCAAAACAACCAAAAGTTCTTGTTACTGTTGTTGTGATTTACCTCACTTGTCTGACAGTAATATCAGAACAAGCCCACATAATTCATCGTGGCAAGGTTTGCAAGATTGCTCCTGTCGTTGAGTTGAGTTGAGTTGAGTTGAGAGCATAATCTGGACACCCGTGCAGCTTACTAAGACTATTCGGGTCTAGTCCAGGTTCCGCATCTATCCGGGGCAACACCTCATGGGGCCTATAAGGACATACATTGGTCCTGTATACATGCTTACATAGTTCATAACATATGCTTATGTTATGAACTATGTAAGCATGTATACAGGAGCCTTGAGCACCTTACAGGTGACAGTGCGATTTAGCTCAGTTGCGCCCCCAATTTTGATGGAGAGATCCTCGGGGAGGGCGGGTCCGAGGGTCTCTCAGCCCTCTTCCCCTACCATGAATCTCTCGAGAAGACTTTCGGGTCGAAATAATTTTCTTGATTTGTGTGGTTTATTATTAACTTAAATACATATTTTCTAAAATTTTTAAATAAAGATTATTTTATGTAGCAAAATGTATAAAATTAATGTATATGCAATGCTATATTTTTATTAAAAAAGAGTTAACGACAGAGTTTTAAGGAGATTTAAACAATTTATTAGTTAAGTGATTTATGTGGAAGTTCTGTATTGAATCAGAACTTCCACATAAACGCGAGACTCGTGCTTACAATTCAGCCAACGACTTGTGGCGATGTAACTTAAAGTAATAACGAGTTCAAATTTATGAATAAGCTAGTAGTCAAAGACAACACAATTTAGTTTAAGGCGAAGTTGGCTCATAACTCTAACCGGCATATATTCAAATATCGGTAATTATATTGTAACGGCTAAGACTACAAATATGTGCTAGCAGCAGCCTAGCAACGCGACCATGAGAGGCAGAACACGCTTTGAATAATCAGCCAAAATCTTTCTTTAAATGTTATCTCTTTCTACCTCATTTACATTTTGGTAGGGAAACGGAGATGAGAAGTGACAGCGAAGATCCAAAATATAAAATAGCTGATTAGGGAGAAATAACAGTAATACCCTACAAGTGCAATGAAAAGAAACGTTTATCTTGAGAGAAATTTCAAGTGAGTCCTGCAGTATTAACATACTAGAGGAAAAAAATATTATTTATGTCAGACCAATAGAAATAGTTGTATCACTTATGTTTTATGTAAATTTATAAAATTACAGGCTTTATATGTATATAGTTGATAACAGTGCTCTAAATAATTCTAATCCTTATTATTATCGAAATATAATAAGCGAATTCTAGTTCATTAATCTCGACCAGCAATTTGTTTTAGAATTTTGACAAGCTCTAAAACTATGTAGGTTATTCCATTAAATGCTCTAAATATTTTCAGAGCCTACATTATTTTCTGAAACAGTTGAACAGGTCTGCATCTTTGGAGGAAGTAATGCAAATGTTCAAAGACAGTAAACGTTAGTTACATTAAGTATGTTTCCAATTTTCATCACATTTTCGTTATAAAATTGTTTAGTTAGTCAATCTCATAGTCATTACTTAATCGAAAAATCTTTCAGACTATTCATCATAGAAACAGTTTCCTCCTAGTGTAAATATTTGTGAGATAAAGTAGACAAACAAATCTTGTCATAGAATAATCTGTGTTTACTCCAACATTCATACCAATCCTGTGAATAAAATTAAAAGTTTTAGCCTAAAAGAGCGTTAGCCCAGAAGCGTTATTAGTCTCAAAACAGCATTTTTGCCTCGAATCATTATAAACGGCTATATCACTTTTCAAACTGTTGCCACCAAATATTATCGCCTTGTTTTATACTTACAGAAATTAAGTAATGAAGAATTTGCATGAATGTATGTATGTTTCTCGCAGTGGGAATAAAACAACGATACGTAACACTATCCAGTTTTGAATAACTAATCCTCCACCGAATGTGGGCATCTAGAAGGCCGAATCTTGAATTTTTTTATTGTCTATTTCATACTTTTTAAATTTTAAGGAATTTTTGATTAAGAAACTCGACGATTTTAAAGCGAGCAAAGAAAACACACTGTATGGAATAAAGTACTTTTATCTCCAGCGCGCAAGCCTGTCTGTCGGAAATTCTTAAGATATGCTGTTTTTAAAACTTTTAACCCAAAAGAATTTAATTTAGCCAAAATGCTCTCGAAACTTGTATGTATGTGTAAATGAAAAAACAAAACGCCACTTTAGGCGTAATATAAAATATGATAGCTTTCAGATTTAAAAAAAAATTACTTTAATCAGAATTGTTCAGATTTTAGAGACTTGAGACATGACATCAGTATTAAGTACTACTGTGTAACACTGTATGCATACAAGTACGAGTATTTGTCCTACACATTGTTTCTAAGCGAAATTTATTTGCATTGACATTTGATTCGAAAATATCCGTAAAAACCCATGCAGCCATCTTAATGAAACGCCAGAAACTGAATTTAGCAATGGTTTAGATGCACTGTTCCATTCATTCGTGGATATGAACGTGTAAGGTTGTAGGGTTTATATTTATTTTAACTAACATTTATTTTAAGTTTAAACTACCTTTCCTGTCAAGCCTTACTTTTCCCCTGGAACTGCCAATGCCAGAGTATGTAAATTTTAGTAGAACGCGCAAGGATTCAAATTATCAGCGGAAGTATTCTGAGTTAAATAGAAAGGAAACGAGTTCGAGGTGTGCTGTTCTTACTTCACGAGCGCGGGGGTAGTTGGCCAGAAATTGAAGAACCCCGCGTTTCGGCCTGTGTGCTTGCCTGGAAGAATTGTTAATCGTTCAAGTGATCTTCAAGTTTGCTGAATTAGCAGCGGTATTGTAAAACGCGGTGAGGTTAGTTACTTTTAGAGAGCCTCGTAGTTAGAGTCTTGTCTTTAGTTCTTTTCAGTTATTATTTTTTATTTGACCCGCCGAGTTGGCGCCGTTTTGTTGAGCGTCAAGAGCACGCACTTGTAATTTATTACGTTGAATGAAAAGGGACTTAAACCCTTAACAAGACTCTGTCTTTTATCCAGTTTTCACAGTCACCTCTTGGTTGCGTGCAAGTTGGAGGCGCGCAACGCTACAAGGTTTTAATCTCAAAGCTCAAATGCTTAGAACAACTTAAGGATTGCTTAGTTCCTAATAATACACAAAACTTAACTAAAAATTTTAGAATTTCTTTATAGACGAATTTCTCAAATAATTAAAATAATACATTCATAAATACTAAAATACATAATACCTTTTCGAACAGATATCGAGGTAATTTGCATTTAATAAAAAATACTCACTGACTGCACATCTGTTTTCAGTCTGAGGTCTATGTCCTGACAAAGGAGAAGAAAATGCAGAATCGGTAGGAGCAAAGACAGTATATGTTCCATTCGGGTTTCGCAAAGTCTGCACTAATCCCGCACGGCTCAGTACTGTGGAAAAAATGAGAAACCAAAGATTAAAGATGCTTTTGAATATTAACAGAAACTTATGAAATAAAAATACTGTGAAATATATATTTATTTTAAATTTCTTTTGTAGGTGTTTTTTATAATAACTGCGTCCTCCCAAAGATCTATTTCATTATAATTTCCTCTCTGATGGTAATTTATATAATTTTTAGTTTTTGAGAAATCTGAGAATTCATCATGATTTTATTCTACAGCTAGGCGGGACACGATCTAGAATTTTGCCTAAGAGAAATGTGCAGACCCTTCCATGTAACTGCAGACTTAGAGCGATGAACAACGAGACAATAAGGTTCCTTGTTCTATGAAAATATATAGAATATGCATTTAAATACATTGTTAAGAACTAATGGAATTCAGTAGTAGATTACAAAAAGTTCATGTTATTTTCTTTTCATTATTAGCATGGCAGCTTAACGTGATATCATAAATTTTCATTCGAAAATATAACTTACGTCCCTTAAGTACAGAAAACTGTGCATCTCCAGCTATGACATCTACCACAGTCTTATATGGCCTAGGCAATACCTTTTGTATTTGGTGAATGACACCATTTCGAGCAAAGTGATCGCCGGACACGATTGGAACACAATTTGCTGTCACAACCTGAAAAGTAAAAGTTATGGATTATAATATGATTCAGGCAACTTCTACGATTATTTGACGAATTCCTTTATCTGTTCAAAAGCAAAGAAAAATATTTTAATAAACCTAAAAATACCAATATAAGATTAAAAATATAACCATATATATTTTTCAAAATATTCATGTATTTATATTATAAAATATTACAATGATTTATTATATTATCTCTACATATAATAAAAGAAAGAGTTTGTGTGTCTTTCGTTCGTGCTGCGCGTAAGCTAATAGACCCAGGGCTACGAAAGTTAGTACATAGGTGCATCTAGACAAGAGCCTTTGCACCTCGAAGCGAGTTTTTCAAAATTCGATTCAGATTTCGCCTGAATATTCGCAACTGAATTACTTCATTATTTGAAATAAAAATGTATAGAAATTATATAGGTCATCCTCGAATTACGATGACTCGATGCCATGATTTTTCACTTATGAAAGTCAAAAATGTTTATTAAAAATTCCCTTTGCTTCACTTTGCTAAGTTCTACTACGATGCCTTTGCATATGCATCGCAGCGGCGTCAATGGGCGATGAACAAAATTTATCCTCAATCCACCATCCATCAGATCATAAGAAAGGCGGTAAAAAAACACGAGGGGAAAAGTTACGGCATTTTTCCAGCTGTTTCAACAATTGTAAAAGACAAATCAAGAAAACAGCTAAAAGAACAATTAATTGTAAAAGACAAATCAAGAAAACAGCTAAAAGAACAATTAATTGTAAAAGACAAATCAAGAAAACAGCTAAAAGAACAATTAATTGTAAAAGACAAATCAAGAAAACAGCTAAAAGAACAATTAATTGTAAAAGACAAATCAAGAAAACAGCTAAAAGAACAATTAATTGTAAAAGACAAATTAAGAAAACAGCTAAAAGAACAATTATTACGAAATATAACATTTTAACGAAGAGAAAGACTTTGCGAAGTGGAGAAGCTTTCTAATGATGTGGACGGATGATGAAGCTGACAATTTTAAGAAAATCCTGAGAGAGGTGATAAAAGGTGAAGCCTATTTGCCAAAGTTGGTTTTTAATTTAGATTTAATTCTTGAAAAGAATGCTTTGAACATGCAGCTACAGAAAAGCTGTATTCGTTAATGTCTTCAAATCATTTAATCATAGGATTCTTCTTCTTGTAGGACAAACTGCTGGCTTTAAATTGAAATAATTTATCTTTTAGTGTCTATAGCCGGTTTCTTACATTAATTATTCTAATACTCGGAGGAAAATTGCTTTACTTGAAAACTGATTCTTAAATTCGATAAGTATGTTAATTATTTTGAAAGAGACATTATGTTCAAAATTTTATTGCTGCTCTGCAGTGCTCAGATGCCTTCTTCCCACTTACGACATGAATGAAAATCTAAATAGGATGTATAATACAATCTAACACAACAGTAATTGTGATTCAACTGCTGATACTGCAATGGTCAGCTGCTGCCGTCAAGACTATTATCTTGTAAGATTCTCTACTGTGTACCTCAAGTTACAACTGAATGTAACTGGATCCAACAAAGAATTAAGATGCTTTTGAATATTAACAGAAACTTATGAAATAAAAATACTGAAAATATATATTTTGTTTTAAATTTATTTTGTAGGTGTTTTTTATAATAACTGCGTCCCCCAAAGCTCTATTTCATTATAATTTTTTCCCCGATGGTAATTTAATTAATTTTTAGTTGTTAAGAAATCTGAGAATTCATCATGATTTTATTTTACAGCTAGGCGGGACATCTTAAGAACTTCTTAAGCGAATAATCGCTCGTGTTCGTGGGGTCATAATACAGGGAAGACCCAATCTTCCTAGTCTCACTGGACCATATGATTATAAAGGGTCGACCCCTCAAAACCACAAAAGGAAAGAAGAGAGAAAAAGAAGCTAATTAACTAAAAATAATTGGAGGTTAATTAACGAACTAAAAATAAGGAAGAGACATACAAACAACGAAGCACAACGCCAAACATTCAAAATCCCAAAACAATTAAAAACCCCACGAGCAAACAGAGTGGCGGAAACTCTCAAGAAATATTCATTCACATGAATTTTCGGAACAGGCACAGGCGGTCCAAACCCATCGAGGAATTCCCAATTTAAATAACCTGCAGAAGGTCAAACCGAATTCCTACAGTATTACTTTAATATAGCATATTATTTGTATAATCATAATTCTATTTAAAACTATTAATTTATTTAAAAAATTTACTTTAATAGTCCTACTACTATCTGAATTTTAAACTACATTTTAAAAAATCAGAAACTACAATTAAAAATTTAAGAAAAAATATAAAAGTTCCCTAAAATTAAAAATTTAAAAATCAAAATCCTAAAACTTAAAACCACCATTAATTTCGATAATTTAAATCTGGTAATCCATCAGGATTCTCAACATTTGCAAGGCCATATCTATGTAACAATCAACTGCATCTCCTCGAAATACCGCATGCACAAAACATCCACAGTGCATTAAATAAAACAGTACACAGAAAAATTTCATTTCGTGGGGTAGAAAACAACAAGTGAGAAGGGTGAAATAAACCTTTATTATTCCAAATATTTAACAGAACTCCGTCTTGGAGTTTTACAGTAAAGCCGACACTCGGGCTTGAACTTAGGAAACTAAGAACTAAAAACTTAACTAATCTTAACTAAAAAGATATAGCCGAAGCTATCAAGATTCTAACGGAGTTGGCCCCCTTAACGCTAATTCACTGCAAAGCTATTAAGGGCCTAAAATACGGCCGAGGGTAATAATAGCTTAAGAGAGACTAGCCTAAAAAGGCGGACGCGTGCTAGTCAGAATCTTTGGTTCTCTCTGACTACGACAGTAAAACGTTAAGAAGCGATAGGAAAGGAAGTTTAACTCAAAATTTAACTGTTAATAAAATTAATATATTCCTTACAATCTAATAATTGTGTCTCAAGCAATAACAGCAATAACAAATGATGCCAGATATTACGCAATTTTTGAGGAAACTGATGTTCATCATCGCATCCAGAACGCTGGAACATCACGGAAAGAAATATCGGAATAATATATGCAAGAAATTTGAAAGAATTTACCACAAGAGACGGTGAACTGGCCGATTAAGACTTGCTTAAACTCTAAAACGGAATATCTGCAGCAAAAGAAAGAAATAACGAGGAAACTGGAAAAACGAAATTATCGGAAATATTATCTGATATAGTATTTTCTAAACTAAATCAAAGGATTTCCATTACTCCAATATACATATCAAGATACTAATCGCTTCGCCAAATATGAGACGCAGATTCAAAAAACTGCCTAGTATTACTCCAAAATAGTTGAAGACAAAGAAACAAGAGTGAGAAAGAGCGGAAAAAAGAGAAAAAAGAAAACAAAATTCCTAATAAAGAATTATTAATCAATCTTCTAAATAAAACAATATTCCTGTTCGCAAAAAATAACGATTTGTTTAAATGAGTGACGATTACTCAGCCAAAGTCTTAATCATAGATACTTTTAATAAATTTTTGCTTCAGTTTAATAAATATTTAAATGATTTCAGATTAGGAAAAATGCACCATTTTTGTATGCATATCTGTACTTTTTTCCAAATTTCTCTTTCTTAATTTTACAAAGTCTGCATTTACGTATTAATAAATCATATATGATTATTTACACAAGTTTATGAATTTCTGCCTTTTAACTTAAATAAAATATATTTATTTTAGAGAGTTGTATATTAAATTTTGTAAAAAAATCAAAAATATAGCTTAAACAAAAGAGGAAAATATAATTTGAAAGTATTGATTTTGAGTTTAATGGTTGGCAAAACTAACCTAGGCATGCTAATTAAAAAGCAACGAATAAAGTTATGTAGGAAAAAAGTTATTTTTATCGTACTAAAATATTAGGCTGAGATATGCTTGATTGATTAAAATAAGTGAGCACAGCCCCAAACGTACATATCTGAAAGCACATGTCAGAAATGACAAAATTTTAAGACATATAAAATACGTGACAATGGTTTTCATACATAATTTGTTATATGTGTTTAATTTGATTATTAGCCCAAAGGAGCGATAACCCAGAAGGGCTATTAGCCTCAAAATGGGAATTTGCGTTGAATCACTATAAAGGTCTGAACCATATTTCAAACTATTACCACCAAATGTTATCGCTCTGTATTATATTTAAAGAAATTAAACAATGAAGAATTTGCATGAAAGTATGCATGTTTTTCGAATTGTAAGAAAAAAGGTACCTAGCGTCATCAAGTTTTGAATAACGTATACCTCCCCCCAAAATATGGACACATGGAAGCCCTAAATTTGAACTTCAAATTACACTCATGTCCATAAATTAAGGATAATTCGGAGTCACGCGGAAATCGAACTCTAAAATAAAATATATCACATGTACAATCACTACACACATCTTCAAGAATCATATGCAAATTTCAGGAAGTAACCAGATGACACCGATGGTACGTCACAATGACGAGAGTGTAAGAGAGTGATATATAAGGAATACGGGCAAAGAATCAAAATTGTTCGCAGGCGCTTTATAAGCATTTCAGTGCAATAACCGAATAGTTATGACACAGAGGACGCATTTGGATGATTTTTTACGTGGTAGAATTATCGGCCGTCTGGCGTACCCAACTGGAAGTATCAGACGAACTTGGAATTGCCCAAAGTGCCATCTACAGGCTTTGGCAACGATTCCAAGATGATGGTAACGTCAGTAGACGTTACAGCACAGGTCGCCCCAGAGTTACAACGCCGAATGAGGACCGGTATTTGGCAGTTACTGCCAAAAGAAACAGGCGGAGCACAGCCTCAGACCTGTCTCGTCAGCTCTCTTCAGCCACTGGTACGACAATTTCAAGGTAGACCGTGTACAGACGCTTAGGGCAGATTATCTATATGCTCGTAGACCTGTCAGATGCGTTCCACTTACTGCGACACACAGTCGCATGCGGTTAGCCTGGAGTAGAGAGCATGCATTGTGGACACCGCAACAGTGGGCTTGTGTGATGTTTTCCGACGAGTCCCGGTGTAGCTTGCAGTCTGATTCTCGCCGGACTTTCATATGGAGAGCTCCAGGTACCCGTTACCACCAAGAAAACATCATTGAACGACGCAATTACGGTGGTGCAGGAGTGCTCGTCTGGGGTGGAATTATTCTGGGTTCCAGAACTGACCTGCATGTTCAAATGCAGCCAAATCTATCGGGACGTCATTCTGGAAGAACATGTACGTTTGTTTCGGGGCGCCATGGGCGCACAATTTGTGTATATGGATGACAACGCCCGTCCTCACCGTGCAAACATGGTAAGCGAATGCCTTCAATCGGAGGATATCCCCCGTATGGAGTGGCCAGCATTCTCACCGGACTTGAATCCAGTAGAGCACGGGTGGGACATGCTTGGCCGACGAGTTGCAGCCCGTCAACCTCCTCCTACATGTCTACCGGAACTTTGGAGAGCATTGCTTTTTGAGTGGTGTAATATCCCCCCCAAGATCAGATCGATAATTTGATACTCAGCATGCCTAGGCGTTGTACGGGCTGTATTGCATCGTCTGGGAGACATACAATGTATTAAAATTCATACCAACCATGTAATATTGGTTTTTTGTAAATAGGTGTTTTTTGTAATTTGCTCTAGGGAGAAAAAATCGCTATTTTTTTTTAATAATATCAAACATATAGCATCTTTTTTTTTTTGCTCTTTACCTTTTGTTTAATAAATAAGTTTTACAAATAAGTCAAATTTGTTTTGCTTCTAACTCTTCCTTTCCTGATTTTGCATTATCCTTAATTTATGAACACGAGTGTAGTTTCATTGTACATTCGTTAAACTTTAATGAATTTTGGGTTAACAAACTCAATGATTTCAAAGCGAGAAATGTCAACACTGTACGGAAAGAAACATTTTTATCTCCAACGCGCGAGACTATCTATCGGAAATTCTAAAGATAGGCTGTTTTTAAATATTTTTAGCCCGAAATTTCATTAGCCCAAATGCTCCCAAAACGTGTATGTGTAACGTCCCTTTGGTCGTAATACAAAATCTGAAAGCTTTCAGGGTATTATTATTATTTTGTTCCTTACAAAATTTTTCATGTCTAGTAATATGATGTAAGAACTTTAATATCATGATCTGAATATTAGATGCATTATTAGTAAATGCAGATGTGTCCTTACATGCATTCACATTATAGAATTTAAATGCACTACGATTTAGTTAAAATTCTAAGATATGAGATTGATTTTTCTCATAACAATTTTAAACATAATTAGCATTCAAAAGAATTAACAACTTGTTTGATGAGCCGTTTCTTATTTCATTAATGTAGTATGAAAGTTACCTTTTCTGGGTTATAATAGATGTTAAATCTGATTTTGGTAGCCTGATTTACTGCTTGAAGTATTCTATCGTCAGACAATTCATCCATTTTGTGAAATCCTTGTATCATGTGGCTTGTTATCAAATCCGATAGCTTTGATTTCTGCAGTTTCCGCTTTTTCGTTAGTTTAACATTTTTCTTCAGTTGTTTTTTCTGTAAAAAATCAGTTAGAATATATTACGATAATGTATTATCCTATTTCTGAAGCTTGTTTACAATGAGGGTAAGAGAGATATTATAACTTATCATGTATTTTAGAAGGAAAGAATAAATCAAAGTTTAGTGTGGCAAATGCATGCAATGGTTCTCTGTTCTCATCACTTCATAATTTTCTGTTTTAAGTTAAATTAGTTCGAAAATCTTCTGAGGGATTTTGATCACTGTAATCCACATTTAATTAGTCAGCTTTATCGTATAGAAGAAAGCATTGTTAAAATTTAAACTTGTTACTCCTTTTTAATTTTTCAAAAATTAAATAGTTTGGTGTTTCTGGATATTTTTAGATGTTACTGAGTCATTATTGACCTGAGTTTTCGTCATGAACTTTGGAAACTGTTTTTATAACAGAACGTTAAAAATGTATAAGTTGAGTGAGTGCACCCGCTATGATGGCTTCCGACCACGGACATGAACTAAACGAATTATATACCATCACGGCGGAGAATACTCAAAATAACAAGGTTGAATATTGCATACTAATAACAGTTTCTACAGTTTGATAACTCCAGGCACTAAGCAATATTCTAGTTATCTTTTTTAAAGTATGAACATTTGAAACATAATATTATTCACGGTTGTTTCTGCTAACGCAGTGTCTTGAGGTGTTTTCTATTTTATCACGGGCTACTCTGTTTTTGAGTGTGTTAAACGTCCACATTGTCCAGGCCAGGCACAGTCCACTGGTTTCTTCAAGTGCCAGGTTCTCGTATGTGCACAATGAAAGTAATAATGGTCTGTGTCGCCGTCCTCTCCGCATTCGCAGAAAGGAGAATCTCTGAGTCTGAATCTGTTGAGGTATACTGGGAATGGTCCCTGACCTGTCAAGAACTGTGTTAGGCTAGCACAGTGGGTCTTTATTTCCATGTTAACTTTTGGCAGTAAGTGAAGTGTCCTTCGTCCTACTTCTGCCTCTGTCCATCTACTTTGCCAATTTTGTAGCAGACTTGTCAAAGTTGTTCGCTTAATATGAGACCAAGGAAGTTTAGTTGGTCTTTCTAATATATCCGTGCAGTTGGCTGCCTGCTTGGCCAGTAGGTCAGCGGCTTCATTGCCTTGAATCCCTGTGTGAGCGGGAACCCATTTTAAAGTGGGTCTTTGCGAGATAGGCATTGCCAGAAGCTGTTTCTGAATTCGGTGTACCAAAGGACTCCGGCAGTTTTGACCTGCGATAGCCGCCAGACTTAATGCCGAATCATTGCGTATAGAGAATTTCTCCTGTTGACATGTGTTCGCATATCTAATTGCAGCATTGATAGCTAGAAGCTCTGCTTGGTGTACCGAGTTGTTCAAGCCTAGTTTCCTTTTCCACTTGAGTGTACAAATCCATTTTCCAGTCTACAGAAGGCGCTGCCCGTGCCGTTCTCCATTTTGGAGACATTTGTAAAAAGGTTATTACTGTTGCTCTGAATTGGTTGGTCGTTTACGCTGATACCGTCGGAGAGATTAAAAGCTGCTGGACGAAAGTTATTGCAGAGTTTTGCTCCTCGTAGTCCGAGTGGTGGTAACTATGACCCCAGAGCATTGAAGTTAAACCCACCCTGGTAACTCTTACGATAGCTGCCTCCCTTTCTACTATCAAATCTAGGGAGGAATTCCTGCCAGTTGTTGTAGGGCTAGTGTTGACGTAGTACGGTAGGCCCTACATACTTGAAGTAGCTGTTGTGTCTGAATAGAGAGCAGGGATCTTATCATATGAAAGGTAAGTTCACCACCCCAGATTGCTGAATTACTCTTTCTATTACTCTTTACTCTTCTGTAATGGTTCTATGCCAAATTTTTAGTAGCTTAGATGAGATATCCCATTTATGTGAAGTCATGTGTCTCATGTTATTGCTTAGGATGCTAATTTGAGTCTTAAGATTCCTGACATGTGGCATCCAGGAAAGTCTGTTGTCGAGTGGCATCCAGAAAAGTCTGTTGTCCCGAGATATTTCAATTGGGGGAAACATTTTACCGGTATCCCATGGAGTTTAATGCTTGGGTTGCGTCTAATACGCGTTCGAGTCCCAGCGAAGGCACTGCACATTTTTCACGTCTTCTGTTTAAAAAAAAAACTTACCTAAAAAAACCTAACTACAATGACGAAACTAAAAAGGTGGTGAATGATAATTTGCGACCACCCACGATTGGGCACCCTAATCCCCATTCACCCTTTGAAAGGGAGAGCATATAAGGTATTTTATCCTTCCTTTACGAATGTCTTCGTGGTGTAATTGGAAGCATACTCAATGTGTATTTTAGAGGTTCAGGGTGTGACTCCCAGTAAGGAGCTGTGCGGATTTTTCACATCTCCTACTCCAAACAAAGCTTATGACTCTACAAATGTTAGAAATAATTTACAATAATACTCAATAGAGTAAAAGGCATTAAAATAAATAAAATATACTCGGGAACAAGTTCTTCAATTAAAGAACGTGCCCTGAAATTTTCCTAAAAAATAAGTATAAATGTAACACAAAAATAGAAACTAGCAATAAGAAACCACTTTTATTACTTATCACTTTTACCCATTTTAGAGGGGTAAAATCACTTTTTGAAGTAAATGATCGCTTATTAAAACGGGAACCTCAAGACTCTTTTTAAATTGATTTTAATAGCAAATACGCAAACCCTTTGTTTAATCATATATCTCATAATTTGATGAATATCATGTTTTAAAATAAACGCCAAATGTATATATATAGGTGTACAACAATCCATAAAATGTACAATAATATACAACAATCCATAAATATATATAGGTGTACAACAAACCAATATACCCTTTCTATAAGAATATAGTTAAAGAATTTTACAAAAAAAAGAATTCGTATTATCAGTACATTTGTTCTCAAATCACATCAAACAGAAATAGTGACAAAATATATCTTTCTGGATATTTTTAGCATCGTCTCCGAACCATAACTCAGTAAAAACAATGTTTCAAGAAAAATGAAATCGAACATTTTACTTGAGAGATGAATTTTGAAAAAAAAATTCTTTTACATGCAGTTTCAAAATATGCATTTTTCCTTTTAGCACAAAGCATCTAAGAATGAATCGAAATATTGAAGAACAGCCTGGAAAATCCATATATGTAGGAGCTTAAAAAATCCGCTAGTGATAATATGTAGATTATTGATAGGATCTTGGGATGTTAGAATTTCTTTCTAACCAATGGCGGGTACTAAACATTGTAGGCGTTGTCTGCTACTAACGCCAGAAGAGGTAGTCACTTTACTATGGAGGCACCTAATAGGTGCGCTACCATTACCTCCTATGATTTGTACGGTACAAGTATTTGTACATATTTCATCTTTACATCTGTACCTGTATCTATACCCTGTCCTTATATTTGTATGCTTAACATATACTATAATAGTCAAAAATGACTAAAATGAGTATTGAATTAGCAGAAGTACGTAACATATTACAAATCTGCAAAAACTCTTGGTAACATAACATCTACAGCATCAATTTGTTTTTAAATTTCATTGTATAACTGTTAGTACGCATTGAGAATACGAGAACATTGTACCTGAAAATGGTAGTAGCTCCTTGTAAGCAACAGCAACTTTGCAGTGCTCAAGATAAATGGTCATAAGCATTTTCCTCTTAGTCTTTCCAATCGCCACCATACTGCCATGCAGTTTACCCTTAGTCTCTACCATGCTGCCATGCAGTTTACCCTTAGTCCCTACCATGCACTTTCTTTCCATGTTCTGGTCCTTATATTTCTTTACATTCTATCGACGGGATCCAACAGGCTGAAGAGCACCTATCTCCTTACATATATGAGGTTTACTTAAGTCTAGGGTGTGTTGACCTAACCCAGTGGGCCGGCAATTCTGTCGATGGCGAAAAGAAAGCAAGATGTTGGGATCATTGCTCACTAAAAATAATACGAGTATTACCCAGGGAAGGTAAAAGAAGCAAAGAAAAGCTGACCAGTTTGAGAAATTTAATGCTTTAAATTCTGTTTTAGATATAATGCAATTTTCTGAGCCTTTAAATTTTCGATGCAAAATTTGTAATTTTCATAGTTATAGTTTCAAATGAGTGACACGGTAGCTACTTAGTGAAAACTTTGCTGTCAAATTTTTTATGCAAACGAATACCTTCTAATCTCTATTTTCTTACAAGAGGTCAAAAATTACTAACTTGCTGACCGATAAGCAGTAAAATATTAAAAACATTAAGATGGCTGACCTCTTAAATTCGCGTGTCGGCGAAAGTTTTTCTTTTATTCATTTGTTGTGCTTAAGATATGCGTTATCGCAGAACAGCAGTTATTTTGTTATTTAAAACTTCGCACGAGTGCTTTCTTTCACATCTCAAAGTAATTTTATTGTGTTTCGTATCGCATATTTTCGTACAGATTCTTCTTAGAAGTTCTTTTTTTCGCTGAATTACTTATGCAATAATGAGGAGGAAATTTCTAATCGATTAATTAAATCATACAACCGACTTCGTTATGGAACTGTTCTGATTTAGACTCGAGTAAAGACTGTATATGTTTTATTGAATTAAATTCTGAACCACTTTATTTAACTTCTTGATCTACTAAAAACAAGCACTGTAAGAGGACTTACTTTTCGCTTGTATTTTACATCAAAGGATTCCAAAGCTGAGTTGAGAGGACAAAGTATTGTATAGTTATTGCTGTGCAAGGTCTCGGTTAAGCCAACTTTCTGTGCAATGGCCACCATTCTCGATGCTCCCATACTTCTAAGCGCGGGAAGTAAGTCTTTTAAATCAACTGAAATAAAAAATTAGGCGTGGAAAATGTACAATAAATTTCATAACTCATATAATACGTTCCAGCTGGCAAGAGAAAAAGTGGCAAAATTTCACATAACTTCACTTTTAAATTCTCTTCCGTTTATAATGTTATTAAGTACACATACGATTCTCTATTTCTTTGATACATATTTAATCACAGATTCTACAAAACAAAGAAAAACATTCGATTTAAGAAAAACTTTCGATGTATATAGAATGGTATGAATGTATTTTGACCTGAATGCATATTCCTTCGAGCCATGTGGACACAGTATTCGGATTAAATCAGAAAAGCAAGAAGATAATAATCTCTTGTGTTATTTGTATAACGTAAACGTTCGACTTACTAATCGTTATGTTGTCCTGGATGTTACGGTCAGAGCGCAGAATAACACAAAGTTAGTTACTTACCAGAAAATGTATTAGGATGTTAAGAAAGAATTTTTTCCCAGGATGTAGTCTCTCATATCGGAAAGAAATACTAGTACAAGAATAAAGGAAATACGACATCAAAAAATTAAAATTAGAATACTCATTTAAAGTTTTCATCGGCAAAATCTTACTGAGAAACTGCAATATAAATAATGACATTAACATATAACTAAATCACGTGATAAGTGTCTGGTCCATCAAAAATGGTATGCTTCTTATCATTATTCATTATAGCCTCTAAACAGATGTCTTGACATTGAGATATATTAATGTTGCATCAACAGGTTTCACTACACCAATGCTATTCTACTATCGAAAGTATGAAGACATTGCAATGAACAAGTTATTGTAAACAGTTAATAGACGAGGTAGCATGATTTAAGGTACACCATGAATGATGAATCTTACGCTGAGGCAAAAGGATAACGGTCATGTTCTATAAAATGGACCTTTATGGAAGCTGAGCTATAAGTTGCTTTCGTACTCACTCATAACATGGTTTCGAATAGCGAGTGAGCTTTCAGAAAATTTTTGAAAAGAAATGCTGTTTCAGATTTTTCAGTAGATTAATGTTCTAGTACATGCGATAAGTAATGGGATCGATGTGTCGAATGGTTCAATAGTTACCATTTCAACTTTGACATAAATCTTGTTATAATGTATAATGTATAATGGCTGGTGTATCAATGACAGCCTTGTTAAATCATGCTGCGATAACTCGGTGTCCGCCGATAACATCGCGGCAAAAACATCGCGGACGAAAACGTCGCGGAGAAAACAACACAAAGCAAAAACGTCGTGCTACAAACATCGTGGGAGAAAACATCGCAAAGAGAAAACATCGCAGTTTTAAAACATCGTGGTACAAAACATCGTCGTCAAAAATAAAGCGGTTCAAAAACTTCGCAGTTTAAAAACATCGTCGTCGAAAATATCGTGGTAAAAAATAAAGTATCTACAAATCATCGCATGACGATAACATCGCAGACATTCTTTTTTTTTTCAAGTTTTAATAATTGTAAATGGATATTCCTGTAATGATTTGTGAGCGCAAGGTGTAAAGAAGGATAATTTTTACTTTCACATTTTTTTATTAACTAATAAATTTTTGCTGAAAAAGTAAGAAGCATAGAAAATTAAATGCGACTTATAGATTATACTTTTCATGAAAAATTTCCAGTAAAAACTTTATAAAAAATTATTTATTAATGGCCTTTGTTAGTTAACTATGCCGGTTTGAAATTCTATTAAGTGCTATAAGTTGCCTTAATTTTCTATGCTTAAGTTTCCTTTTTATTTTCTCAGCAAAAATTTATTAATTAATAAACAATATGAAAGTAAAAATTATTCTTCTTTCCCTCTTGCGCTCACAAATCATTATGGGAATATCCATTTACAGTTATTAAAGCATGTCTGAAAAAAGCATGTCTGCGATGTTATCGTCATGCGATGATTTGTAGATACTTTATTTTTTACCACGATATTTTCGACGACGGTGTTTTTAAACTGCGAAGTTTTTGAACCGCTTTATTTTTGACGAAGATGTTTTGTAGCACGACGTTTTTGCCTTGCGTTGTTTTCTCCGCGACGTTTTCGTCTGCGACGTTTTTGCCGCGATGTTTTCGGCTGTAACCGATAAATCGGGGGCAAACCAGTAAATTCAGTAATGAGTAGAACGTAACGAAATTTGCTAGCATTTAGTTATTGAAGACTTATGAGGCCATATCAGTATGATGGTTAACGAAAGCTACGTCCAAAAAGAGCTTGATTTTGAATTACGGGTAAGGCAATATTTGTAATCATCCGATCCATGCTATATAAAGCTACGCAAAATCTGTCGATATGGAATGCTTTCTGTGTGATTATGGCAATAGAATTGACAAGAGCAAGGAAAACATTTCGAGATTCCAGGGTGCTCGCAGCTTTTAGCCGCTGTCAAGGTGGTAATTTGGTCATTTGCAGTTATAGCGCTGTATATATTAGCATCTAGTTATCAATATTCTAGACCAGAGTTTCCCAATCTGCTTTCGACGGATCACAACATCGCGGACGAAAACGTCGCCGAGAAAACAACGCAAAGCGAAAACGTCGTGCTAGAAAACATCGTGGGAGGAAACATCGCAAAGAGAAAACATCGCAGTTTTAAAACATCGTGGTACAAAACATCGTCGTCGAAAATAAAGCGGTTCAAAAACTTCGCAGTTTAAAAACATCGTCGTCGAAAATATCGTGGTAAAAAATAAAGTATCTACAAATCATCGCATGACGATAACATCGCAGACATGCTTTTTTTTTTTCAAGTTTTAATAATTGTAAATGGATATTCCTATAATGATTTGTGTCTACAAACAGTCTCTAAATATTCAGCAAATATTATGAAATTGAGGTTAGAGAACAATGAAACATTGTTTGCTTTCATGTATTTAACACAGTATATAAAAGAAATTGAAAGAGTAAACATGAAACAAAATTGTTTAAATCAAGAGCATAATAAATTTAATAATATATTACGACACCAGAGTTGTCTTATGTCGCTATCGTAGTATATACGGAGTGCATTTCGTATATTTGTTCCTATTCTGTGGTTGGAAGTAAAGAAGAGTTTCAGTGTCAGTTTAATATTTTAAAAGTGTCAGTTTTTTGCAATTTTTGCTTTTTTATTTTGTCTTCTTTTTGTGATAGTGACTAAATATAAAATTTTTACAATTACCAATTAATAAGTAATATTTTTATCATTAAAACCACTATTGTTTTAACAAATAAATATTCTAGTTTTTCGCTACAATGAATATATACCAGAAAAGTCAAATTTCCGTTCTTATTTTGTTATCACTTTTCTGCCGGTAAAATGTCAACATTTACATGATAATTCTACTTACCCATGGTCAATATTTCCCATAGTGCCAGTGAGGCATTCGAAATGTATTCACGATGGCAGCCAAGCAGACAGATGTAAGCGCAGTGGATTCCAAAGTTATTCATTTATTTTTATTAAAATTATTTATTAAAGACAACTGATTCCAGCATAAGCAAAACGTTTAAAGAATTACCGTTAAGCGAATTATGGATAAGCCTGTCAGAAGAATATCTGAAAACGACCAACTCACATATTGCTTCCTAGCCGCCCAGACGGTAATTAGGGAAGCCGACTGCGATGTCAAAGGGCCCGGGTTCGAATCCCAGAAAAAGCGCGGTTGTAAAGAGGTTATCACATCTAGAGACCGTCCTCGGTAGACGGGACTTTTCTGAGAAACGAGATTCTGAAGGCATTGGTTTAAACGGGAGGATTTGTAGATGAAACAGCTCCGCTGGAAGCGAAGTCCCGCATAGCTACGGAAACGATGTCGCGGGATATTTTGAAACTTCGCCAAAAATGTTTCGTCTGCAGCTTTCTCCCGGGTAGAGATCAACTAATCAGACGAAAGTTCTGCTTCTGAAGGATCACATGATCCCAATCTGAGCGATAACCGATTACTGTTTGGGCGTTCAAGTCTGTTTAGTAAGTGAAAATGGAAACCTAGCTACGTAGATTTCCTGGAAATGTGCGGGCTATTAGAAATGTCCCTTTCGAAGTTCAGTCCCGCGTAGCGGAAACATATGTGATAGGGACTTTAATTGTCCTTCTCTCCATAGGAGGCACAGATGGCTCACCTTAGGTGCCTCCATAACCACTTCTGGCCTTAGTTGTGGCCAAGACGAAGTCGGATGAGGGCCTGTCATTGAAGGTGGTAGTATTACTACCTATTCCCAGAGCATATTTAGGAGAGTCAGGTTTTCACATTACCCTGCAGTATAATCCAAATATAGAAACCGACTTGATGCTGTATCTGATATAAGAATTGAAGCTCGATGGCATGCATTGAGCAATGGTACTCTCGTGGGTCTACGGCTTCCGAAGCCCATATGGTGAAGCGAGCATTGCACGATCCGTTTACTGACTACACGACTAGCTCAGTGGCTTCACTATGTTTAAACAGTTGAGTCGTTTCACATCACGTCGTTCGAGGCTAGTTTAAACAGTTGAGTCGTTTCACATCACGTCGTTCAAGGCTAGTTTAGACAGTTGAGTCATTTCACATCACGTCGTTCAAGGCTATTTTAAACAGTTGAGTCGTTTCACATCACGTCGTTCAAGGCTATTCCTTTGCAGTTTGCCCTATCGATAGTTTTTCTCCCATTATCCGTGTATTCTCAGTATATTCTTGACACTGTCAACCATGAATATCCTAGCTCTCTGACGATTTCGGAAAATGAATGGCCCATGCATCAAGCGCCTACTATCTGCCTGCGATCGAAGGTGTCTAAAGCAGGCATTTTACCCATACTGGAACTTGAAGTGGCCGGTTAACAACAACCATAGTACTAGTTATATATGTAGTTCAAATCCCATAATTGATGCATAATTGTCATAAGTGGTTGTCCCAGTTTTCTTGCTCCAAAAATTTTAACTAGTGACGCCGGACTAAAATGTGGTGAAGGACCATGTGACCATGTTCGTCATCACATCGATTTGACAGAGTCTCGTTCAAATTCACGTGGCTGGAAACATCGGCTCAGGCAAACTCGATTCGTTCGCAAATGGGTTCCCGCGTGTTATCGCGAGCCCGGTGTAATATGTTGCCGATTTTCGAACACATGAGAAATTCTAACAAGTGTCAATGAATTAGCAGAAACAGTTCACAGGACAGTAAAGTCTTTGATGTGGGGTACACATAACGAGTCCGAAGGAAACACCACCGAAATTGAAGAGTAAGTGCGCGCATAACCAAATATATGACATTAATAGAAGGTGTAAAGATATGCCTCTATGCATAACAATCTAATACAATTAGTCACACTAACAGTAGAATAATACAATGATACAGATATGTACAGTTATTTTTTAAAAAAAGTGTGACAAGGTACAGTAACTTAGGCAGTGAGATGTCTTAAGACCGCAATCGGTCGTTTTCTTTTGAGTGGCTATCATAGTCATAACTCAGAACAGGGATTGTTCTGTTTCTGACACCTGGAATGTTTGCAGAATTTCTCTGCAAGTTCAGCAATATAAACTGTATCTCAGGGATTTCGAGCTCACGGTGAATTGCCGAGTCCCTAATGAACCACCGGAAAATCACCGCTTGCCGAAATACAATATTTTGTGCAACTTGCAACTTTTTAATGCTGGTTTTACATGCATAGCCCCACACAGAGCAGGAGTAGGTGAAGATGAGTCGCAAAAGGGTCTTACAAATGAGTATTTTATTGTCAGTAAATAAAACCGAGTTCCGTTCAATTAAGGGGGTTAGTGTCAGTTTACGTGCCCGGAACTTAGTAAGAAGCTGTGTTATGTGAGCGGACCATGTGAATATCTTATCTAAATGTAACGCCAAGATAACGGACCTGCTTAGTCCACGGGATAGGTGTGTCATACATAAGGACACGTAAGGTTTGATCGTAATTTCTCCTCCTGGTGAATAGTACTGCAACAGATATTTCAATATTTATTTTGATCTTCCATGCGATGAGCCAGGACTCTAATGCATGTACGTGATCTTGGAGTGATTGCATAACTGGGCCGAGAGATGCGTTTTTTAATAGAATTACTGTGTCGTCGGCATACATAGCGAGGATGGTGAGTGGTGATTGTGGGATAGCGTTCGTGTAGAGCTGACTAGTTCTTGACCCTCTTTCTCCATTCTCTCTTAAAATGAGGGGGAAATATAAGCAATTTTTGCCTTTTATGCTGTTGACTCTCGTCTGCATACCAGATATTCCAATTCATAAGAGAAGAAATTTTCGTTAAAATATTTTTTCATTTTAGAAGTGAAAGAAATCACGATATTTCAAGCTCACAACTAAAGGCAACATAAAGAACCAGGTATCTCTCGATTTTCACTTTCTGAATGGTGATAAATTATTACTGTTGAATTTAGCTAAATTAAATTAAACATTTGACATATTACAAGCAAACTAAGGGATTAGCCATAGGAAGCCCCCTCAGTCCCATCCTGGCTGATACCTACATGCATTATTATGAATCAAAATTGTTTGATACTTTAACCTTCCGCTCCTGTTTGAAGGTAATAGAGATAATTTGGATTACGTTCTTTCGACAATGAATTCCATTAATCCTGCTATTCAGTTCACTTTTGAACTTGCAACTCTCTCCCGTTTCTCGACATTCTGGTCACACGTAACACATCCAATTTGAGCTCTACGGTTTACCGTAAACTTCGTCGGTTTGCCTTCCACCACACTTCAAATCATGTCATCCGACTAAACAAAAGTTAGCTTCATTTTATTCCTATGTTTTCCGTGCTCTTCAAATTAGCTCCTGCAAACTATCCCTCGATGAAGAACTAAATTGTTTAATAGCAATAGCTATTGACAGGGGCTTTTCACTCAACATTATTAATCAAGCAGTTAAAAAATTCTCGTCTCAACATTCCAAAAGGCACACTCTTGTTTTAGGAGATTATAAAATTTCTGTTGTCATTCCCTTCTTTCCATCAGTTAGCTATAAAGTTGCACGTATTTTGCAGAAATTGAACTTTCGGGTCGTTTATTCTCCCATCAATAAAATTCCGAGTTCCATACTCAAGAATCCCATTCCGGATATGAATTCCTGGGGTATTTATATGATTCCTTGCCAGCGTGGTTTAATTTACATTGGCCAAACTAAGAGGGTCTTAAAATTTCGCGTCAAGGAACATGAGGCATATGTTAGAAAAAAGGAAACACAGAAGTCTTCTGTTGCCCAACATTGTTGGTCCGAAAATCACACTTTCAGTTTTTCTGCTCTCAAAATTATTCAAAAAATATCTTCCAGTGGTGAATTGGATTTTCTAGAGGCATTTCACATTCAAAAAAATCTTTCTGTTCTAGTTAACGACCCTAATTCCAATCCAACTTTGCCTTCAGCCTTTAAAGAAATTATGTTTTATTTCTGGTTTCATCAACAGATGGCGCCAGCAGCTTATCTCCTGTCCAGGATTTCTTATCGTATCTGATAATTATATCTTATCTCGTTCATATGCGCTTTTACAACTGAGGATGAGGGTTTGGTAAAACCTCCGAAACTAGTCCTGTGAAAATTTGAAAATATAACGCTTATTTTTGTTGTTTGACTTCTAAATTAATATTTGACAGTTTAACTATCAAAATATTACAAATGTTAGAGATTCCATTAAAAACATCTACCTTTAGAAACTAAACAGTTTCAGTAATTTGGGAGCTTAGCAGCGTTGGTGTCTAGAATTTTAAATATATTCACAAGTGCAGTCTAATTCATTCGAACATGAATTTAGAAATTGAATTTAAGAATATTATTAACGCTTCCATTTACTATTGCTACTTGTGGAAGAAAAGTTATCAAATATGAAATAGCAGTAAAAAATTGCGTAAACTCTTCACTTAGTGAATAAAAGCTTTCAAATTTGGCTGTTCTGTTTGCAGACCTTGAATTAAATATCAAGTAGATTTTAAAAACCTTAAAACCTTACTAATGATTTTGCTTTGTTAAGAGCAATAAAAATTAGATTATAAGAAATGCTAAGCAAGTTTAAAATTTTTCTGTGAATTATATAACCTGTTTATATTATTCCAATATTATTAGTCCAAAGGGATTTGAATCCCGAAGGACTATTAGTTTCGTTTTGGCATTTTGCGTCGGACTCATAAATGTCGGTTCACTTTTCAAACTGTTGCCACAAAATGTTAGAGTCCTGCATTATATTTGAAGAAATGAAATAATGAAAAATCTGTTTAAATGTATGTATATTTCTCGTATTGTGATAAAAGAACGGTACATAGAGTCATCGAATTTTGAATAACGTAATCTTCCAACGAATATGAGCATGTGGAAGACCAAATTTGAAATTTGAAATTTGTTTTATGATCGA